GACAGACAGACAGACAGAGACAGACAGACAGACAGACAGAAAGGGGGGAAGAGATAAATAGATAGATAGACAGATAGATAAAGAGAGAGAGAGAGAGAGAGAGAGAGAGAGAGAGAGAGAGAGAGAGAGAGAGAGAGAGAGAGAGAGAGAGAGAGAGAGAGAGAGAGAGAGAGAGAGAGGGAGAGATAGAGGAAGTGTATCTAACAATGCTAATTTACGGAGCGCCAGTGCAGGTCTTGCATAAAATTATCAGCAGATTAGTATTCAGTTAACCACGACTTAAAAAAAAATCTGAGGTATTTATGTAAATGCAAAAGGATGATACAGTAACGTGTATTTTCAGTACAGTCCCACAGTCATGAAGTGAGAGAACATAAGGCATCGACCTCTTATGGTCCTGAGAGGGATTTGAAATGCCTCGGTATTAAAGGCAAGTGGTACATAATATTGTATTTTACATTTTTCCTCTTTCTTTTTCTTTATCGTGACCCATTTCATGGATTGTTCTTCAAGAATCAAGTGAATGTTTTTTGTTTAGTGTTTATGAGGCATACCATCTTTTTTTTTTTTTTTTTTTTACATATCCATTAACATGTATCATTTGTATATCGTCCTCGTTTATCTTATATAGTTTTATTCTTTCTTCTCTCATAAACAACAGTGATCACTCCTGACCATGTATAAAGAATAAATAATCTTTAGTCAGAACTGTAGCTGGAACTATCAACCGTTCCATCTACAGGCAAGGGAATGCCATCTTTGCTTTAGAAAGGTGGTAGGCGGTTTTAAGGTTCGTCAGCATGGAGGTCTGTTTCTCTGTGGTTGGGAAGTTGAAAAAAGGCTTACGGTAACGAGGAAAACGTTGGTTTCGGAAAAATTATGTAAAAGTACTAGGCATCGAAAATGGCCACGTAAAAAAAATGTGAAAAGAAGCATCTTTTCATTGTGATCTGCAGTTACTGGAATTTTCCATGTTTTTTTTTTCTTTCTTTCTTTCTTTATTCTTTAAGAAGAAACAAACAGTGTAGTTATACCTGCTATGTATTTTGCTCGGAAAAAAGGTTTCAATTTTCTAATATAATAAATCAAGAGGATCGTTAGGCGATCGCTTAGACAAGGGAACTGCCTATCTCGATTTCCTCACGACAGATTTGATCGTTATGCCCAGATCACAATTTTCCTTGCAATGCCACAGGCCTCTTCCACCCCGAAGGAGACACCCTGATGAACCTCAGGGAGTCGCGCCACGTGTGCCAATAACCTGAGTTGGTCATAGATTGTACTAATAACAGGTTCTGCGTCATTCTCACAGCACGGACATTGACTAAACATGTACAGATCTCCCAGGACCTGTCGTAAAAATGATGTTATTCTAAGGTACGGGGCAATTCACGGACTTGAAAACGGGTAGCTTTATCCTGCAGAGTTACTGGTGTCCGGATATTCTTACCGTGAAAGTCCATGATTCCACGCAGCCAGACCAGTTCGTCTACTACCATTGTCTAACAGTCCAGAGTCGTGATATACACTACGGAGATATATGAAACTCTCTTTGACTGCGATGTCTTCGCTGCAAGTACAGAGCAGATTCTCCTAGCAGACCCCAAAAGTCCTGGATCTTGGTCTTAGAATTAAGACCCAAAGGGCTTTGCCTCAAGCACGTAGTGTTACAACAGAATAGCTTTGCCTTAGTGCTAAATGCACCGAAAGCTACAACTAGGGTCTCAAGTCCGACAAATGTAATAGCAACGTTATCAGAAAAGTCAAGGTAAGTGACTGATATCACCTATTGTTGTTCCATATTGACTGCCTAGTTCCTGGAAGCGTTGAAAGGCGTTGGAACCCGAACACAGCCTTGCCTCACTCGAAATTTCACATGAGAGAAGCTAGAAATCCAATCACTAGACTTTAAAAAACGTTTCAGGACCTGTATTTATGTTTGGTGTTCATTCATTGACGGCCGAGAACCGAACTATCGACAACAACTATAAGTACATTACACGATCTGTTGAGGATTTGCCATTTGTCTGTAGCGCCTCAGAGCCTGCACTTTGCCTTGTATGCTAAGTATACCTCAATGTGCATATTTGTGTGTTATAATTATTAAGATTTATTCGAAATTCATCACTCGTCGCCGCAGCCAATCGAAAGGAGTAATTTGATCTGGGTTGTGGGTTAGCGACATTCACTCCAGACTCCACACTCCGGGACCGTATGTCTGCTGACCACGGCGGTGCTACTGGGAATGGAAAAAGACAAAAGAAAAAAATAAATGATTGAAAAAAGTGATCACTGTAAACTGTAGAACAGCAGTCGGAAAAAGAAAAAGAAATGATTGGTAAAAAAAACAAAGTCACTGTAAACTGACTAGTACTCAAGAATGGAAAAAGAAAATAATAAAGCGATTGATAGAAAAAAGATCACTGTAAACGGTAGAATAGTAGGCTAGTATGTTTAGTATATTTAGGCTTTTTATGTCGAATTTGCTCATGATGCTATTTTGTGGCCGCATATTGTTTCAGAATAATTCTTATAAAAGTTTATTTTAATATATTGAGCTTGTTTTGTGCAACGCTAAAATTTGAACCATTTCATAGAACTGCTGTCGAAAACAGAAGAATCTTTAATATCATTATTATTTTTAGACCTGTTTTCGAGATTATCCGTTTAAAGGGGTCACTCAGGATTTTTATTTAAACTTTGAAATTACCTATTACCTATGTAAATTTACCTTATCTATGTTATATAGACAACCTTTAAATGAACTTTGTGCCCACATGGTTTGTAAAGATGTATTTTCATTGTATTCCAAGTGTACTTTTTACAAATTGTTTGCATTACGTCAGATTCCTATTTACAGGACCTGTACAAGAAGTTGAGGTGGAAATTTAAAAGTTTCAGTAACCTGTCATGATTTATCTACCGGTATTAATAAAGTCTATAACCATTTGCTTCCTCTTTTTGTTATCGATTGCCACCATCGGGTAGCCCCGTGCTGTAATTACCAATACTTAAGCCTTTTGCAACTTACTGGATGCCATCTTTATTTTGTAGCAAATTTGTAAAAGAATAAGAAAAAAAAAAGCTCGAGTAGAGATGTAAGATGCTTTTGTGGATTTGTAAAACTCGTTTGCTTGTCCCCAACAACCCACACAGAGAAGTGTGGTGATTATTGAGCAAGTTGGAGGACAATTTGGTGTAGGTAAAAAGTAATAAACAATGCAGTGAAGTCAAAGGGAATTATGGGGAATGCGTTTGCAGTGTGTGTGTGTGTGTGTGTGTGTGTGTGTGTGTGTGTGTGTGTGTGTGTGTGTGTGTGTGTGTGTGTGTGTGTGTGTGTGTGTGTGTACACGCGCGTGAGCGTGTCAGACTTTACTACATAGTACATTTTCATTTATTATGTGTTAACTCTGTTCAGGGAGTTCAGTTCTGGTTGCCCATCCGAGCTATGTTCTGCCGAAAACCTATTTTTGACTGCTGAAGAACCGACAGAGTAGCTTCAGAAATAATAATGACAATAAAAACGGCATGGGAACAAATGGGCACAGAGTGAGCTTCGATACGACAAAGGCAATAGACATGTTCCAAATCAGATGGCGTTATGGTATTCGTCGATTAAGAGTGGAGAAAATGAGGATACGGGCGTTCAAACGTGTTCTTAGACTTGCTCGAACACGATTTAATCACACGTTTTGCGAATTTAAACTTTTATCAATAACCTGAGCATGGGTATATTCACGTTAATGCCATTACCGAGATAAGAGCGTATTGCCGTGAACACGTCGGTATTTATAGATAAATGGTGAAATTAACCAAAAATTTAAATAAGCATATTTTCGGGCAATTGGTCTAAGAACACTTTTAGCCGCGCATACCTTCCTATTTGATATTATAGGTAACACATGTAAACACTTGATCCACAGAAGTATAGTGGCAAGCCCAGGAGAACTGTTAATGTATATGTAAAATATCCGTCTGGGTATCTTTAGCCAACAGCCTGAGAGAATAGTTGAGAACAAACTGAAAGATACGTTTCTTCTCCGTTAATCAGGGATGCAGGAGGGAAATTTCGGAACTCGTTACCGTTACTGACCAACAGATTTGTTTCTGCTGGAAAAAGGGAAAATGTCTGGCACGGAGAAGAAAGGTGGACAGGGATGATTAACAACGACAATGTCTAATGCTTTATGGAGTTGCAGACAGCAGTGACATGGACACAAGGAAAGGGAAAATGATTTACTGGGTTAAGACGTGCAAAGAGTCAGTAAACGGCCACAAAAAAACAAGTTTTGTCTAATCGTTTGAGTGACGGGAGTGGATTCTCAGCCGAAGAATAGAAAACTAAGGAAACTGTCAACTAAATCAACGTGAACTTCTTAAAAAGAGTTCCACCCATGCAAACAATCATAATAGATATCTTTGGCATAGATTTCGTTCTTTCGTCCATCATTGGATTAGTGATTTGGCTTTAACATAAAACAAATGTATATTCTTCATGTTTTTATTCTTATTATTACTATTATAAATATGGGCATCCAATACTGGACCCTTGTTATGAATCCATCATTCCATCAATTTCTAAAACTCAATTGAAGTTTAACAAATACGAATTTAGACATCAGTGGCTATGTACAACAGATAAGTAAAAGTAAATTAGATAAGAAAGAAATCTTTAAAATTACAGAAGAAATGTTGAAAGAGAAGCTACAGCTCCAACACTTTTAATACACCTGCTTGACTTCACTTGATGATGACATTACAGACTCCTAGGTCTTTCATAATGACTTTTCTAAGGCAGCACAGTAATCACTATAAATCCTATATCATACTTTGTCAGCGTGTATATAATGCGTGATTTCTAGCCAACTTCCCATACTAAGGCGAGGGCACAAATTCACCTGTTTCTTTTCTCTCTTTTTTTTCTCTTTTTGATTATTATAGCTTGATACACAGGACCTTTCATAGTTCACGTTTCATGGGAGGTGAAATAACACAATATAAAACAACAGTATTATTATATTCTTCCAGTTATATGGATTATACGGATACAAATGCTGATTTTTTTTATTAATTAACAGCACATTGAAGCAGTATGTTCCATAGAGGCAAACAAGTGATTTCTTTCACCCTTACAAACCACAGGACAACTTCATAGAAAGATGAAATACACTATGGTTATCTTCAATGGATCATCATAGGTTACATCCATATCCGACATTATACAAAAACTTCACTACATGTTGACTTCCCAAAATCGGGTGACAGGCGACTCTTGTGACTGGGCATACTCAATATCTATGTACCTCATATTTAGCATTCACATAATTCCTAGTGAGAAAATCACAGATGACACTACCGTCTCCACATACACGCACACACACGTACCTACTATTTCTCTCGGTATCGCTCAGCCGCTTCTCTCTCTCTTTCTCTTTCTCTCTCTCTCTCTCTCACTATCTCGCACTCATAATAATATTTACCGATTTCTGACAAGAATCAATACACTTACTCTCAAGTCGTCTCACACTCATGCATTACACTGAAGGCCAAGAACTATGGTGACGGTAGAGGGATGATGATCACATCAGCCTGGCTTCCTACATAACGGTTTGTCATGGCATCAGCAACTTGTTTAATAAGCCCTCGTTTGCTTGTTTTCAAACCGAGGAATCATAAACATGCATGCTTTGGGTAGATGACTGCTGATGACAACACATGGTGGTGATGATAACACTGGTGCTGGTGCTACTGCCGGTGCAAAGGCGTCACTGCTACTGTACCTCTGTTGCACTGGTGCAACATTCTCGCACCAATGGCCCAAGGAATTTTGGGGGTCCTGATAACATTCTTCCTAAAGGGGACAGTGGCGTTGTACAACAAAACATATCAATAAATAAAAGAATATTTCGTTTTTACTATACAATGCACTTCTCAATCATTAAAACTCTGAATTTGGCTCACTACTCCTATAAAAGGTATTGTGTCCTTTAGTCATTTTACTCTATAGATATAGTAACTCTTCAGGTATTCTGCTAATCATTTACACAGCTCTCTACTACACATAATATCTTATTTGCTGGACGTTGCATCAACACCAGTGTGAAGGAAGGCAGCAACACACTTTTCTTATTGTTTGCCTTGTACATAAATAGCTGTGGTCCAGGTCTCTACTTCAGCTTGTTAACCACACTTACATTGTTTACCTACAAAACTGGACAGAATAAGAAATGGCTTCAGCATGAAACAGGCTGCAATCATAATCAACCTGTTAATACACTATTCCTCCCTGATTGCTTGTTTCCCATACAAGGTGCTAGGTTTCTATAAAGCTTAATATAGAAGATTGTTTCCTTAGTATAACCGTAAAATGTGAGCAAGAATATGACCATCTGTAGGCAAGTCCAATTAGCTGAAGTGACCACATAGAAAGTTTATACGAGGAGGGCCTCAAGGGGGAATATATCAATTGTGACTACAGAACACTGCCAAAAATCAATGGATAGAACACTAAATAACGTACTCCAGTTCTCTCTCTCTCTCTTTTTTTTTTTGAGGATAAGAAGGTAGCAACAGAAGAATCAGTCATAAAAGGGCAGACAATGTGATGGGATCAGTGAGTACAAGGTGCAAAGATACTTCCATATCAAGGTCTTTCACTTTAAGGATGTATGTTTATAAGAAACATTATTCAAAGTACTATATGAAGCTTATAGTCACTTATTACATCACATGTTCTGATGAATAGCTACAGGCATGATAAAAAATATTATTTGAAGAAGGTTGTAGCCTTCCTCATGACATTTATATATTTCTGAAAGGTACTTTGGACTTTGCTTGAAGGACCTCCCAGTAACGAGTCTTCTAGCATAAGTCCCGAGGGACGAGATCGTAGCACAGAGTTTGTAAGGACCGTGAAAGACTCAACAATCCATGCTGTTTTCAAAGGTCGTTTTCCTCTTATAACACGGTTCCTGCTTTTCCAACCTTCTACGAGTATGGATTGCCAATATCTTCCAACAATCTGTAGTTATGAGGGTGATGCTTTCATCATGGAGCTGTAACTGCCTCGTAAAGATCCACATGTTCATGACTGGAAAAGTGGTGTGGGTCCTCCATACCCAAGATGGCTCCCCATTCCTGCCTCTCACAAATGTCTTCAAGCCACGGCACTTTCCTGATCCATCAGCACTGATGCACTTTTTATCTTTTGTCATACATGAATCTGAACATGTAGGAGCTGAAAGTCTTTGCCCTATATACATCGATAACATATCCGTATACACATAGTCTATTTATTTAATTTTATTCCACAGCATTCACAAAGAGTTAAAGGAGGGGGTTTGGGAGGGAGCTGCAGCGCTTGGAGAACAAGATCCCTCTTTTCATAAACATGAGTTTGGGTTCACTGATTCCTCCAACAAGGAATGTCTTGTTTCATTTGTGTTTCACCTATTGTCTTCTTGCCTGCTGTTTGGCACTTTTGGGGGGGGGAGAGCATTTTCCAACAGATAGATACACTATTTTTCTGTTTCCTCACAGCTCCATGTTTGTTTCTTTTTCATATTGTTTCTCTTCCCCCAACCCCATTTCAATTTTCTTCCCACTCTCTAATATATTTCTCTCTCTCTCTCTCTCTCTCTCTCTCTCTCTCTCTCTCTCTCTCTCTCTCTCTCTCTCTCTCTCTCTCTCTCTCTCTCTCTCTCTCTCTCTCTCTCTCTCTTTTTCTTAATCATCCCTCCATCACCATGAGAATCATCTCTGCTTGTTGGGCATTAAGCAAATAAAAACTTTTATTATGGTACCTAGGTAAAATTATATTAAAATTAAATAGCTATGTCATTGGATGCCAGTTTGGTACCAACACAGGGACATAATGCCCCCTTTGCACTGGTCACGACTTGCTTCCACCAAACTACACCTAAGCTAGTGTCGTCCCAGAGTATGTATACATTAGTACCTCCCAAAGGCGACTAAATACACAGAGGATTAAAAAAAAAAAAAAAAAAATATAAGAAAAAAATAATAATAAGTAAAAATAATAATAATAATAATGATATAAAAATCTGTTGGTCATTTTGCGAATAAAGTGTCGTATCAAAGCACAAAAGTCCATTCACTTTCATTTTTTTTTTCTTCCTAGTTTTTCTTTTTTAATTTTTTTTTTTTTGGTAGATGGAGTGAACGAGCAGCTGAACTCGTCTTACTTGTTAAGTAATCATCACAGAACAAGTGTGACTCAGTCAGTCATTTTGAGCTTTAGCCATTGCTATCATTTTGCAGGTGAAACTTTACATTCATAAATAAAGGGATACAAAAAAAAAAAAAAAAAAAAAAAAATATATATATATAAATCCTGATAAAAAAGAAAAACAGACAATACGAAAGAGTACAAAAGCAAAAAATGACTGCTCTTATCACACATAAGTCTAGGCCTTACAAAGGTCCCAGGGAGTAAAGGGGGGGGAGGGGGTTCCATCAATCCTCTCAGGCTTAGCGATTCTCACAAGGAAAATTCCCGTGTTCCCCGTCACATCACCACCACCACCTCTGCCTTCTTCATCCAGCCATCAAAATTTTGTTCCTTTTCAACCTCAAAATAACTGATTACAATAAATAAAGTACAGATACTTAAAACCATTCCTGCTTGCAGAATAAGAGACCTAATTTTTAGAAAAATCAGATTTGAGTATATCTTTTTATTGCACATATCTCTTTCTACATTTAGTTTAGTGTCTATATGGGTCCAGGGTGCTCAAAGCAATTTATTTGTAGATTCTATATAAACTAATACATTGTCCCAATTGACCCAACACAAGCAGACTATCCTACAGTCTGCAAGGTGGTGTGCAACATGAAATTGTTGAGGCAAATCCTCCAGCCAAGTTTCAGAGCTGGCTGGGGAAAAGGGGGGGCAGGAAACAGTAGTAATAAAAATAACAGTAACAATTAAGAAGTTTTCAAAAAATCAATTATAATACAAATGGAACTAAAATCATTTCACTTGGATAGAGTGACCTCCAAATAAAAACATTTCCACACCATTATTGTCATGTAGCCTCCATCTCAGCGCAGGCGTTATGAAATACATTAAAAAATAAAATAATACAAAAAAACAATGGGGTCACAACAAAGTGTCACGTAACAGCAAATAACGCAAGCACGAGGACTGGTTTCCACAATGATACAGGTGGGTAGTCGATTTTTTTTTTCTTTTTTTTTTCTTTTTTTTCTAACAGCTGGGAGATGCAGTGCTTCCGGTGGTGATGAGGTAACACTGGAGTGCTTAGTGCTTGTGGGGGTTGGTGGGGTGCCCCCCTATGGGTGGCGGTGCCTGAGGATTGAGGATGCTCTCATTGGACTGCGACTGAGATGCCGGCAGAAGCACCGCAATGGCCTCTCTTTCGGGTGAGCACTGCACCACTGCCAGTCATTTCCCGCGTCCTGCCTTCTTCTTCTTTCGTTTGAAAAAGCAACAGCACCTGAAAGGAGGGCAAATACAAAAAGGAAAAAAGTGTGGATGAGTAACTGTTCTTAACATGTGGAAAAACTGTAATTAAGCTTAATATAAAATTACATTCACAGTCAACTCTTATTTACTCAGTCTTCAAATAATATCAACATGGCAACATGCTACAACATACACTCGTTGCCTTCAGCAAAAAGAAATCCGAGATCTTACTTTGTTTCATCCGAGGTATCGCCTTCTTGGTGTACGGTGATGGGGGTGTTGGAATGACCTGCTAACGGGTCATCGGGTCCAAGCTCCCCATTAGTCGAACTCACAACCTGCGGCAATAATGCAACGGCTGCTTAAACCATGGATCACACTTAGAGAGCCTACCAACATTCATTCACTCTTCTTCTATCAAAAACTATGCTGAGTGAGGAATCCTTAATTTCCTCTTTCGCCTAGCCAGAAAATGAATACAGATCTTGATTAAAAAATCATTATTATGATCCTTTTTCTTCTATATATTTATGTGGTATTAGATATATGTATTTAATGCAAAACAAATGTAAACTCTTCCAAGCTACTGTCATAATTTACTTCTCAGGTATATTACACAGCCCTGTAACATGTACCATTAGTACTGTTTGTGCAACGATCATTCTCGCTTACATAAAAGCTCGCATTCATGTCTACCTTGAGCACTGCACTGACTGTGGGGGTGAATCAGTGACAATCAGGTGATACACATATTCATGTCATTGTGCATGTTTTTTTTCATGACAAAAAGGAATAACAACAAAATAAAAAATTCATCAAGACTTATTAAAGAAAGTAAAACCAAAAGTAAATGAATGAATCAATGAAATCAATCAAAAGGTTTCTGAAACTCCTAAAAGATGATGTATCAGTATATACACACAGAGCATTGCTGTGGTTTTCCAATATTCACCAACCATTTTTGAGTCCTGTTCAAAAATTTCTTTTGAGTCATGTTCAAATTTTTGTTATGTGTTAAAGTCTTAATTCTATCTTAATGTCCATGCAACATGGGTGAGGGCAATGCACCCTTGTGTTCCTTTATCCAAGATTTATTGTCATTAATTCATACACATACATTCATCCCCATATAATTTTTTTTTTTTTTTTTTTTTTTTTTTTTTAAATCAAGATACATCTATCACAAAGTAACATACAATTTGAAAGCCATTAATTATCCTTAACCCCTCATCATTAGTAATGAAAAAAAGGAACATTAATGGAAGAGTACTAATACATTTCCTCAGTTACTGAACACTCTACAAAGGGAAAAGTATTAATGTTGTATATATAGCCAAACTAACACCATCAAAGACCTGTTGCACAAGTCTACACAAAGCATCCACTGATTTTTCTCTTTTTTTTTTTTTTGCTTTTGTTTAATAACTAGGTGCTGCCAAGGCTCTTGTTAACCATGCAAGGCTGTGGTGCAAGGAAAAAAGAAGCTGTCGGGAGAAGATAAGCCACAGGAACTAAAACCCGGAGGAGCAGGCAATGGTCTCCAGAATATATAATAAAAAAAGAAAAAAAAAAAAAAAAAAAAAAAAAGTATCTGACTTGCCACATACTCTCTGCACTGCATTGTTGGCACAGCTGACCCTGCCTATCTCACACACTTTAGGTAGATTGCAAACTCATTCATCTGCCATTTACTCTGCTGGCTGAATTGTCTCAATACGACCAGCTTCTTCCTCCCATGCATCACACCTGAGGCCTCTGCTTACTCACTGTGCTCCACACAACTATTTTAGGAGTGTGATGGGAAGTCCATGTTCATACATATATCACACAAACAAAGCTTTAATTCATGCAGTAACTCCATTTTTTATTTTATTTATTAATCTTTAATTGTATCTTTATAACAAAATCCATTAAGGCAATCTATCTAATATGTATTTCTTTAGTTACCTTACTCAGTTGTGGGAAGCACTTACATAACTAGCACACTTTTCACAAATATGTAGAAAAGTCAAAAGTGAAGTTCCCTATAATAGGCTATGTAAATATTATCAATCACAAAACAAAATGCAAGAAAAAATAAAATTGCAGTTAATGCCATTGAAAGAAAAAAAGAAAAAATAAAGAAAACAAATATGGATGATGCCAGTTATCACTTACAAAATGACCAAATAGCTCAAACACATAGCTCTTTGCAAGCCTGTCAATTCCAACATTCCTCAAACATTACCACTGGAGACGTTCAAATCTTCCAGCCTGACTTGTACCACAGGTCACCAAGAAAAAATACAAAAACCACACCACAACCCATGTCCTAGAGACAACTAGACTAAATCTCTGCTTGTGTCAATTGAAGAGAGGCTATAGAGAGAGGGGAAAGGGAGGGGGGGCAGAGGGAGGTTCTGTAGCTGGAAGTGAAAGACTGCAAGCTGGCCGCCACAATGATCTACATCCGCTGTGAAAGGAGCCTACAACCGAGAGAATTGCAGAGCTCGCACTGCCAGTCAAGATAGCCGAGTTGGCTGCTGTGTGTGAGGGAAACAGGAGGGGTGATGAACTGGACAATATCTGCCGCTGAAAAAGGGTGCACGGGATAAACAGAAGGCTAAACAATGTAAGTGCAGGTACTTAGCATCGTGTGTTTGGGAAATGGGACTACCCATGATCTCAGGGGGATTTATATGAACAAACTATGTCTATTTATGGACAGACAATAGCAAGGTTGCATTTACTAGCTAGTTGATGGGGAGGGTGAGGGGAGGGAGGGATGGGTCATTTGAAAACAAAATAATTAACAAAGCTAACTCTTGGAGGAAGGTTCCTCATCTGCCCAGTTGAAAAATATATATAATAATAAATTGAAAAAAAGGAGGGATGGGGGGAAAAAAGCAGAGTTGGGAAAGCTACTTAGTATTCGTAACAAAATCACATAAGGGGATAAAAGGGAAGGCAAGGGTTGCTAGTCATGCTCTATTGGCTACATAAAGGCCTGATGCTAAGAGTGGGGGGAAAGAAGGAAAAAACAAAATATGGTAAAACAAAATTTCAAAAAGGGAGGAAAAAGGTCAGCCACATGATCAGCAATTCCGAGCACAGGTTAGACTGCTCCCCAAGGTAAGATGTTCTCTCTTACCCCTCCCCAAATAAATAAACAAATAAACAAAATAAGATAAATAAAACAGACAAATCAAAAAATCATTCAACCAATCAAAAAGGGGATTTTGGGGTCACTGGGGGGGAGGGGAAAAACATCAACCTCTTCAGAACTCCTCCGCCATGTTCACAATAGCTGATCCTGTGGCCAGAAGCAGTAGGGAGAGAGAGAGAGAGAGAGAGAGAGAGAGAGAGAAAGAGATCAAGACAGAGCCAGAGAGAGACAGAGAGAGGGGGGGAGGGGGTTTCAGCAGGCCCGTCGCCAAAAGCGGGATTACCTGGACGGAGCCGTGGCGGTCTGCAGGGGTGAGGTTGCCGCCTAACATGTTGCTTGCCTGCTTGGGGGTTTCGGGCCAGGCTGCATTACCCTTGGTGCCGCTCTGTAACATTGGCCCCGTGGCCTCGTCAGATGCATTCGTCATGCGGCAACAACAACCAGCAACATCATCATCATCACACACACGCCACATGTCCACACGGTCAAAGGGGATATGAGGGGTCCTCACACATATATCTTTTTTTTTCTGTTCTCTTCCCGCATACCTAACTGCCTAACTAATTGACTAATCCTGTGACTACACGAGACCACCAACCTATCGCCATCTGTGTGGATAGCTGGATAAACAGAGAAATGAAGTCCTAAGCGCCATTCTACTTCGATCTTGGTTTCAAACATTCCCATAAGATATTAGCACATGGTAAGTAGATATATAATATTACCACTGCTGTCTCAGTGTTACCAGGAATTTCTGGATAGACTTGGCCTAATAAACTAGCCTTCAAAACATTAATGGGGTGAAAAAAGCAAAAGAGTACTATTCTGTACCTCAGTATACAATACGTTAAATACTGAAATATCATAAAATCATATCTACCAGTATACAAAAAAGAAAAAAAAGATAACAAGAATAGAGGAAAATTCTGAAATCAGTACTAAATAGCCAACTCTACATGGCCGAGATTCCCAAATACAATCTAATTTGCCAAAAACCCAATCGGAATGATGACTGGGATACTATACTGATCAAACACTATGGACTCTTCGAGAATCTGGCCATACATTTTTCCTACTGCATGTTATTTTTACACAACAGCAGGTTAACAGAAGCTGCCCTAGTCTTTTATGCTTATGCAGCACAAGTTACCTGCATTAGCCGCAAGTCCTCTCCTGCCGACTTTTCCTGGTGATATGAAGAGATTGACTGGAGTTTTGCTTTCATTCTGCTTTGAATACTTTTAACCATTAATCGACTACAAAATTTCTAAATATTTGTTACTAAGATCTCTTTCTGATTAGTGAATGCAAATCATAGTGTAAAACCTTCCCCCCCCACAATACTAACATGAGACTAAATATCTCCATAAGCAACACTTTTCTTAAAGACTGTTTTATTGACATTTTCACAACTCCCTGACATCTGAAAATAACCTACAAGAAAAAAAAATGGAAAGGATATAAACTACAGCTATGAATAAACTAATAAATGTGAAGGTAAATAACAAAGGTCCAAAGAAGTGTTCCATCACACAATGAGCTACTTATACTCCCAGTAGCTTCAGTACTTTCCTCAACCTAAAACAAATGGTAAAGTTTTTAAAACACAAAAAAGCATGCAATTGTGGATGTGATTATTGATGCATGAAAAAGAATGCTGCATGTTTGCTTACTTCTTTTCATTTCTTAATAAATTTATCTACTTGATTATAAACAAAAATACTATTCTTAACATGGGGGGAAAAAACAGACATCATGTTCTGGCACTACCTCACATACTGGACTGAGCAATGGTAATGACCATCGTATCATTCCTTTAGAGTGACTAGGAATTCCTCAAACAGAATTGTAACTTTGTCCGAGGGCACAGCAGCTACACAGAGTAGTCCTGACTGAACAAACAAGAAAACAAACTTTTAAAAATTTTGGGTGAATAATAAAAATAATAACCATCATATGCTTAATAATCTGTGATCAAAGAAACAGTGAAGACTAGAGGAGTGACTTAAAACGGTGTGAGTGAGATGGACATTAACACTCGTGTCTCTGTGTAGGGGGGTGCTGAGAAGCCACACCTGGTGCCGTGTCATCATTCCGAGGTCAAACAGGCCTGTTACACTCCTCCCCAGTCTTTCACAGTGCAAGGCTTTCAATTAGTACTCTTGGCCTGGTTGATGTGTTCAATAAAAAGCAAAGATTTAAAAATTTCTGAAAAAAATCCTTTTTTTTTTTTTCTCTCTCTCTTTTTTTTTTTAGGATTCAAAAAATCTCTCTAAGTCTGAAGTGCCCAAGGTTGTTGCACTGTAGCTCAAACCGTGAGGAGGTAGTGTCGGAACATACGTGATGTCTGACCAGGGGAGGTCGTGGGGAGGCTTCGTCTGCCAGCTGCGTTGGAGTCCAAGGCAGTAGCACCTGCTGGGGAGGGGCAGGAGGTGCCTCACCCTCCCTGGCTTCACCTTGCCCATTACCAGGCCCCTGCACATTCTTCACTACTCCTGTCAACTGGAGGGAAAATGTTAAGCCCTATTTAAAAAACAACAAATAATTTTTTGAAGAGGGCCTTTCAGGTGCTTGAGGAAGGGGACACTTTTTGCAGAACCACCTGCTGCGCCTGGCAAGTCAGCCAGCGTGCCTTCCGCCGACCTGAAAAGGGTGGAGATGAGGACGGAGGGAGTGCCCAAGTTTACCTTAATAGCCGTTGGGTGCCTCTCGCGGTTCTCTCTGCTTGGGGAAACAATCACTTCCGTTCCTGTCTGCGTCGAACCAACAGGTGTTGACTGCAAGAACATCCAAGTAAGTCTAAAAACACTCTGCTAAAAAAAACTTCCGACAATGTATCTACATTTATATCTAAGACTTTGGCATTTCAAAATATATCACTATTTCAATGACTGCATCAGTAAAGGAATACTGTGGTCCATGACAAATGACTTCACCCTTTCATCTTGGCTTACAATATAAGAAACAGGTTAGATTAAATTTAGAACTTAGCAGGATTATTCACATTATGGCTACAGAATGCCTAAAATACTTTATCTTTACTCTAAGTTTTAATTACAATCCTATTTGAAATGGTTGTATACAATTCTTAAAAAACATAACTGCAATATGAATCCTGGAAGGGAAACAAACCTACACAACACTATAATACCTCAGTAAATTGGAAAGTTGTGCGAGATCATTAGCATCAATAACCCAATAATTATTCTTTATTTCCTCTGATTCCCATCAAGCAGATACTAGTTGGAAAGAGGATTCAAAATTTAACTCTTGATACACATAGTGCACATATACATGAACTGTCCTCTATGGTTTTGCTTTTCTTTCATTTTTATTTAAAAGGTGCTTAGTCAAGGACTCGGTTACAATGGGCATACCAGACCTTGCCTCTATACAACACTGAATGGGGTAAATTTTCAAGGAGAAAGTTTCTATCATATTACCATCACTATGGCTATTAACCTAATTATAATAATGGTGATAATTAAAATATTAATAATGATGATGATAATCGTAATAAAAATAACTAGAGAAAAAAAAAAAAAAGAAATTGGGTAAACAGATGAAATCAGGTAGGCCTAGCAATGGAGTAACTAAACATTAGTGAATCCATCTATGCTCAACAAATAAATAAATAAAAGAACACCACGATGGATAGTGCATGTAATTTGCATCATTAGTTTATGGGAGAGACAGAACATGAAAAAAAAAAAATCTCAAGAAAAGATAATAAATGTAACATTAACAAATGTAACATTAATCCCTACATAAAAGCAAAATTCCTAGTTACATGTGCACACAGGATGGGAAATGCCTTTTTGTTTTATGATATCCATCAATATATAATTACTTTGTTTTAAAGTCTTCTAATTTGCATACTAATAATCTTGAAAACATGGACTTGCTCTACTTTTGTCCAGCGTGAACACACAACTGAGTAAGGCAAGTGTTGAACTTTGCCCTCAGATTACTAAGTCCCTTTTTGGCACACACCCAGTATTACATTTGCAACAACAGGGAGGCATAAACCTATTCCTTCATCTAAATCATTTAAAAAAGCCAATCTGTTCCTTCTTTCAGAGTTTCAAAATCCCTCAAGAGCTTGTAAAATGGAGATATAAACATTCAGTAAATGACAAAAAAATAACATGATAATAAGGATTGTTATGGTTCTGATACTGATAACTATGACGGACAAGATTGACAAAGGAAGAAAGATGAAGATAGAGAATAAACAACCAAGAGAAAAAATAATTTCTATGTATAAAAATGCTTTCACAAAAAAAAAAAAAAAGAAATTGGGTAAACAGATGAAATCAGGTAGGCCTAGCAATGGAGTAACTAAACATTAGTGAATCCATCTATGCTCAACAAATAAATAAATAAAAGAACACCACGATGGATAGTGCATGTAATTTGCATCATTAGTTTATGGGAGAGACAGAACATGAAAAAAAAAAAATCTCAAGAAAAGATAATAAATGTAACATTAACAAATGTAACATTAATCCCTACATAAAAGCAAAATTCCTAGTTACATGTGCACACAGGATGGGAAATGCCTTTTTGTTTTATGATATCCATCAATATATAATTACTTAGTTTTAAAGTCTTCTAATTTGCAAACTAATAATCTTGAAAACATGGACTTGCTCTACTTTTGTCCAGCGTGAACACACAACTGAGTAAGGCAAGTGTTGAACTTTGCCCTCAGATTACTAAGTCCCTTTTTGGCACACACCCAGTATTACATTTGCAACAACAGGGAGGCATAAACCTATTCCTTCATCTAAATCATTTAAAAAAGCCAATCTGTTCCTTCTTTCAGAGTTTCAAAATCCCTCAAGAGCTTGTAAAATGGAGATATAAACATTCAGTAAATGACAAAAAAATAACATGATAATAAGGATTGTTATGGTTCTGATACTGATAACTATGACGGACAAGATTGACAAAGGAAGAAAGATGAAGATAGAGAATAAACAACCAAGAGAAAAAATAATTTCTATGTATAAAAATGCTTTCACAAAAAAACACATGTTCAACTCCAGAAACTTGAACAGCACAGAATAACAGAATAACCCTATAACAAATTGTATGACACACTTCCTTAATCATTACAAATAAATTGAAATATATCATTATCTTTTCTATGGCACTTTCCTTTCACAGTTAACATCTCTTTTATACATACACTTAAGTGGTGAATCCATCATATTCATTACATTAGCCTACAATACACTATTGCATATTAAAACTGATTTTAAGGTAATATATCAGATATCATGTGTAAATACTTAAATAAACTCCTAAATAACATGTATCTAATAACCAACATTAATGAATAACTAAAACAACAAGGAGGGCTGCAGAGCAATATGAAAATATTTTTTAGCACTAACTAGAGCAACTCTTGTACTTCAATTATCAGATAAGCTCATCTTTATTATATACTTTTGTTCTATTTTTTCATACAAACAATTTGTAAGCATCAACCCTCAAACTGAAGCAAGTTTATTCTTATCCAATGACTATGCTTTTATTTCATTTCAATGATTTGTTTCCAGTGCATAAACCTTAAACATGGATGAGGAGAAATACAAATATGAAAACATTGCTTTTCATTCTTATAACATTACTGTAGAGATTGCATGTATGATCAAGCAGCACCCTCAAACTGAAGCAAGTTTATTCTTATCCAATGACTATGCTTTTATTTCATTTCAATGATTTGTTTCCAGTGCATAAACCTTAAACATGGATGAGGAGAAATACAAATATGAAAATATTTTTTAGCACTAACTAGAGCAACTCTTGTACTTCAATTATCAGATAAGCTCATCTTTATTATATACTTTTGTTCTATTTTTTCATACAAACAATTTGTAAGCATCAACCCTCAAACTGAAGCAAGTTTATTCTTATCCAATGACTATGCTTTTATTTAATTTCAAAGATTTGTTTCAAGTGCATAGACCTTAAACATGGATGAGGAGAAATACAAATATGAAAATATTTTTTAGCACTAACTAGAGCAACTCTTGTACTTCAATTATCAGATAAGCTCATCTTTATTATATACTTTTGTTCTATTTTTTCATACAAACAATTTGTAAGCATCAACCCTCAAACTGAAGCAAGTTTATTCTTATCCAATGACTATGCTTTTATTTCATTTCAATGATTTGTTTCCAGTGCATAAACCTTAAACATGGATGAGGAGAAATACAAATATGAAAATATTTTTTAGCACTAACTAGAGCAACTCTTGTACTTCAATTATCAGATAAGCTCATCTTTATTATATACTTTTGTTCTATTTTTCCATACAAACAATTTGTAAGCATCAACCCTCAAACTGAAGCAAGTTTATTCTTATCCAATGACTATGCTTTTATTTAATTTCAAAGATTTGTTTCAAGTGCATAGACCTTAAACATGGATGAGGAGAAATACAAATATGAAAATATTTTTTAGCACTAACTAGAGCAACTCTTGTACTTCAATTATCAGATAAGCTCATCTTTATTATATACTTTTGTTCTATTTTTTCATACAAACAATTTGTAAGCATCAACCCTCAAACTGAAGCAAGTTTATTCTTATCCAATGACTATGCTTTTATTTAATTTCAAAGATTTGTTTCAAGTGCATAGACCTTAAACATGGATGAGGAGAAATACAAATATGAAAATATTTTTTAGCACTAACTAGAGCAACTCTTGTACTTCAATTATCAGATAAGCTCATCTTTATTATATACTTTTGTTCTATTTTTTCATACAAACAATTTGTAAGCATCAACCCTCAAACTGAAGCAAGTTTATTCTTATCCAATGACTATGCTTTTATTTCATTTCAATGATTTGTTTCCAGTGCATAAACCTTAAACATGGATGAGGAGAAATACAAATATGAAAATATTTTTTAGCACTAACTAGAGCAACTCTTGTACTTCAATTATCAGATAAGCTCATCTTTATTATATACTTTTGTTCTATTTTTCCATACAAACAATTTGTAAGCATCAACCCTCAAACTGAAGCAAGTTTATTCTTATCCAATGACTATGCTTTTATTTCATTTCAATGATTTGTTTCCAGTGCATAAACCTTAAACATGGATGAGGAGAAATACAAATATGAAAATATTTTTTAGCACTAACTAGATCAGATGCTTCCAACTTCTCAGATCATCACTTAGCAAATTACAGTTTACTGATAAATTATATTTTCCTTTTCAAACTAAAGCATTGGAAATTCTTTGTTATCACAATTACATATTTCCTAAGGAACCTGGGCTGCATTTCTTATATATTTCACTAAATGAAGATTAAGTGGACAATTTAAAAATTGATCTGGGTTTCAGAAGACCAGTGACAATTTGAGGATTGATTATGCATCAAAGGGGATTCGCTATCGAATGCAATAAAGGATAATTATGTGTAATCAAGCCTTTCAAACAGCAACATTATCTTGCTTGTTTCTACAATTGACCGACCTTATCTGATCTTGTCTTAACTCTATCTGAAGGAGCGGCAATTCTCAGTTGTCTCATATTGGCTAAATAATCTGCAGGCTGCATCATGATTGTTAAAAGTTGTATTAGATTATGTATAAACACTAGTAAAAAGACAATTTTTTTAGGGACTTCTCAAATATTAAATAAAAAAAGTGCATCACGACAAATTCACACGTCCTTACCATGGTTTTTCCTGTCCAATCAAAATCACCATCCTCGACAAAGCCTTTCCTTTCAAAGAGATCCTGGAAAAGCTTTCGCAGATAGTCGTAGTCTGGGGTCTCAAAGAAATCCAGCCTCCGTACATACCGTAGGTATGTCGCCATTTCTTCTGCAATAAAGATGAAACACTTTGATGTTCAAACTGTTCCTCCTAAAATTTTCAAGCAAGTTAAAATGTTATCATAATGAGATCAATGAAATGAATGCTACATTACAAAAGAAAAAAAGAAAAAAAGAAAAAAAGATTCTCTATTCCACCCAGGCTTCTGCAGCAGCATTCTTACCAGGGTAATTTTCACAGAGGGCCTCAATGGGTGTGGCTCTCTTTGTGTCCCCAATCTTTTGGTAACGTTCCTTGAGGGTGTCGGCCTTGAGTCCCTGCCAGGGGAGGGATCCTCGCAAGAAGTACATGAACATGTGTCCTAGGGCCTCCAGGTCGTCTCTGCGTGACTGTTCCTTGCCCATGTGGGTGTTGATGGACATGTACCGGGCAGTCCCTGTTAGGGACTTGTGCTCTCGGTATGGGATGTGCTTGTTTGTTGTGGGGTCAATGTACTCCTTGGCCAAACCAAAGTCTGCAAAAAAAGCAACTTTTGACTAAGGCAACAACAATAACAACAACCAATAAGCCAAAAATAAACAATGCTATGAAGTCAGTCTACAAGCATTTTTCATGCTTGTTTTATAATTAAACACTGTCTAACACATCAACAAGGTAAAATGGTCTAGATGGTCTGCAATCACCAACTTACCTATTATGTGTATTATTCTGTCTTTTTTAGTAGAGCTTCTCCCTATGAGAAAATTTTCAGGTTTCACGTCTCGATATATTAATCTTCTAGAATGTACATATTCTATCCTATGGAGCTGAAAAAGAAGATAACATTTTAGTAATCCTTTTATTTCACTGTTACATAGTTCTTTAAGTCTTGTTGACATTCTGTTAAAATGGAAAATACAATCTATATTTCACATAATACATATATCAATTCTCCACTAATTCTCAATCCTTATAAAACAAACAATCATAGAAGACACTGAAAATGATTCATCAAACCTTAAAAAACCAAGGATACAACCATACACTCACAACCAATCATTAGGCTACAAAAACCAATAACATTCAATGCTACCAGCTTGTTCCACTAACATTAAACTGAATTATATTGCAAGTTCAAGAACACCCTTCTTCCTCCTCCTCCTCCTCCTCCAAGAACAAAAATAAAACATCTAACACTTACTAATTGTATGGCTATTAATAAGACTGTCTTGAGTGTGAAACGTCTGCCACACATGTCGAAGAGGTCTTCCAGGCTGGGGCCCAAGAGCTCCATGACCAAGGCATTGTACTTCCCACACACACCAAAGTAGTAGATCTTGGGGATACCTTCCACTGAAAGGAGAGAGAGAGAGCCTGGTTAGGTTTCATTACCAATTTGAAGTCATTTTTCTCTTCTTTTGAACGCGTTACCACAGTCAAGAAAACATGACACAAATGTTCAGAAAAGAATAATTAAGAAATTGAAATAAATTCAATATGGAAAAAAAGATAGAAAAAAATGACAAAGACAGAAGGTACAATATTCGAAAGAAGGATGAGCATGAGAAAATGGTGAAACAGTAACAAGACTGTGAAAAAAAGAAAGAAAAAAAAAAAAAAAAAAAAAAAACAGCAATACAACACTTACAAGATATAGTAATTTTATTTACAGCTAAACAGCAAATCTACCAACTGGTCAGAGTGAATAAGCAGTTCAAGACCATCTGTGACATCAAATTCATATGGAAGCAATAACCAAGGAATGTGAGAGAGTGAGTGAGGAAGAGGGAAGGGGTGGGAGGGAAGGAGGGAAGGGGTGGGGGGAAGGAGGGAAGGGGTGGGGGGGAAGGAGGGAAGGGGTGGGGGGGAAGGAGGAAGAGGGAGGGGCATTTGGTGAGAGGAGGAGAGGGGGGTAGCAAAAAAAGAGAGAGAGAGAGAGAGAGAGAGAGAGAGAGAGAGAGAGAGAGAGAGAGAGAGAGAGAGAGAGAGAGAGAGAGAGAGAGAGAGAGAGAGAGAGAGGGGGTGGGGAAGAGAGTCAAAGAAGAGAATATGGGAGATAGAGAAAAAAAGGAAAGATTGAAAGAGGTAGTGGTAATGAAAAAGGGAAGAGAGTCAAAGATGATGGAAGATGAAGAGAATCAATAGACATGAAAAGAAATGAAAGGAAGGAAAGGGAAAAGAAAGAGAGAGAGAGAGAGAGAGAGAGAGAGAGAGAGAGAGAGAGAGAGAGAGAGAGAGAGAGAGAGAGAGAGAGAGAGAGAGAGAGAGAGAGAGTGAGAGAGTGAGAGAGTGAGTGAGTGAGTGAGTGAGTGAGTGAGTGAGTGAGTGAGTGTGAGTGAGTGAGAGAGAGAGAGAGTGAGTCTACCACTGATAGTGCTAATTTACGTAGCATCAGTGCAGGCCTTGCATAAGCCCACGGTAGTGTGTAAGCATTCCCCCAATCTGGCTCTGGCTTACCTCCTGTTACCATCAAAGAGCCAAATGGCAAACAAAGGTTTATGTTCAATCTGGGCAGAGACATTATTGTGGTCTCCTTTAGGAATCACAGTAATATCAGAGCTGAACCCAACAAGTATTAAAGGACAAATTACAGTCACATTCCCCAAAAGCACGACCCTATGAATGTTCACAAACAACTTGTGCTGGCTAGAAGCCATCACTATTATTGATTATGGTGTAAACATATTCAACATCTACAAGATAATCAGTAATCATTTATCATAAATGGGAAGGAAGTGCACAGGGAGTGGGGTAGGGAGAATGGGATAGGGAATGAGTTGTGGGAAGGAAGGAAGGAAGGAAGGGTGTGTGTGTGTGTGAGAGAGAGAAAGAGTAACTGAGTGAGTGAGAGTGAGAGTGAGAGTGAGAGAGAGAGGAAGAGAGAGAGAGAGAGAGGAAAAGAGAGAGAGAGAGAGAAAAAGAGAGAGAGAGAGAGAGGAAAAGAGAGAGAGAGAGAGAGAGAGAGAGAGAGAGAGAGAGAGAGAGAGAGAGAGAGAGAGAGAGAGAGAGAGAGAGAGAGAGAGAGGAAAAGAGAGAGAGAGAGGAAAAGAGAGAGAGAGAGGAAAAGAGAGAGAGAGAGGAAAAGAGAGGGAGAGAGAGAGAGAGAGAAAGAGAGAGAGAGAGAGAGAGAGAGAGAGAGAGAGAGAGAGAGAGAGAGAGAGAGAGAGAGAGAGAGAGAGAGAGAGAGAGAGAGAGAGAGAGAAGGGGGGGGGGGAGTGAGCGAGTAAGCGGGTGAGAGTGAAGAGTGTTGGTGGTGTGAGCATGAGCAATTATCGTAAAAGTTGAATACTTCATATTAAAGCCAGTTGCGGCAAAGGAAGGAGGTCAAAAACAGTGACCCGAATCCACGAGTGAAGTAGCGACTTCAAGTGCGGCCGAAAACTTGATGAAGAAACGATCCTCCTCTGCCCCTCTGCCCCCCCCCCCCTCCACCCCACCTCCTCCTCCACCCAACAAAAGCCCGTCGCGTTCGCCGCCCTCGCGCCTCCTCCTCTGGCGCCAGATAGAACCGGCAATAGAAATACCCTCAATTCGTGGCAAAAGGCGAGTGTCATGAGCTTATTTGATAACTCAAGTCGAGTTGCTGCCGCCCCCGCCCTCCGAACCTCGGCTCATCGCGATCAAAATCCGTGAGAAGGCACAGTTACCATGACAACGGATGACGTCACTGTTCCAGCTGAGGTGACGTCACGCGATGGCGCGATTCCCGTTGCTGGGAAAGCATTGCAGCCGCCTTTTCCTCTAATGAATATTATGAACGTCTTTTCGTCGGTCGTATTCTTGGATTCTTTTAAGGAGTCAATATTCTTAAAAAGGTGAAATTTTAACCATTACAATGCGAGAAAAAAATACGCTACAGTCGCACACAGCCGCCATTCCTCTCAACACCGGACGCCAGACAGACAAGCACAAGACATTTATAAAAACAACAACACAAATAAAAAAAAATCGCCCAGCGCACAGCAGGGACGCTTCCCCCCGCTTCACACATGGGCCCGGGAAGCCAACTCGCATCCACGGATTTACGAGGGACCCCGCCAGTTCCTTCGAGAAAAAAAGAAAAGGAGAAAAGAAGAAGAAGAAAAAAAAGAAGCTCGCATTCCGAACCTGCGGATGGTGGCAACTGCGAACCCCGCCCGCCCGCCCGCCCAGGCACCCGGCTCCCGAGTGCGGCCAGTGCGGAGCGGACGCCACTCACACACTCACGCCGCACGCACGCTCGCCCCGGCCCCCTCCTATTGTCCTTGCTACTGCGGACGCCCCTGGCCCCGTCTGCCCTCGCCCCAGACTCCGCGTCGGCCCTCATGGCTCTTGCATTGTGGCTCTTTCAGTGCCTATAAACTACTATCAGCCCTAACCAACCGGCCAGTAAAACCCCTTCTTCCTGCTCCTGCTGCTCCTCCCTTTCTCTTCCTCCTCTCCTCCATCCCTTCGTCTCCTCCTTCTCCTCTCCTCCTCCTCGTTCCGTGCCCCGCCTACGACCCCCGGCTCCAATACAGCAGGAGCAACAAACGACCTCCTCCACGACTCCATATTGTTTCCAATAGTGCAACTACGACCTCGCCGCACTCCACTCCCGGGAGCGAGTCAATGAGTGGTGTGTGTGTGTGTGTGTGTGTGTGTG